CTACAGCTGGGCTGGGTCTTCTTTCGGCACTTGCCAGCGTTGTCAAGCGCAATCGTCTCACAACCTTGGCCAGTGCGATCTTGCGGCTTTATCATTCATATTTGCCGTATCAGCGCTTGGCTGCATCTTCTCACTGTTCGAGACAATAAGAAAAGAGGTGCCCAGGAGTACAAATTTGCGGCTAGCTACGAACTTACGAGTTTTCCACGATATTTCAATGAAATACGGGGCTTCGACTTGGACTTTGGTCGCTGCTTGTGTAATGCTGTTGCTGGGCGCCGCAGTGTTCATATTTGCGTGGCTAGCTGAAGTGCGACAGACTCGACAGAAACTCAGTGATGATAGCAGAGAAAAGGCTAGCTACTCGCCATCAGAGGGCAGATCATCGGGCGCGGGATCTTAACTGTTCGCGATGTACGAGAAAAGGGCCTCGCTGTCAGATTGAAAATCTCATCGAGCCGTAGATCGACTGGGCCGCAGGTGCTGCCCCGATTTCTAGATACATCCAAGACCCCCATTCTTTTCGCAGCATTTCGAGAAATCTCTTAATTCTCGCGGGTTTCGATAATTTAGGGGGCATGTAGTGCTATTCCATCGACCTCCCGCAAGATAACAGCAATCGTAGCTTGCAATGCGATCTGCATGAACAGGATTCCATTTGTTGACAACAAAGATACAATTGCAAGGGAAAATATCTTGCTCTCGCCTTGTTGGGGCAATCTTTGGGACGGCAGTGGCCACGCACAACGTGATTCCACCAAGAACGACCATTATGAAGGAGATTGGCATCATCTTGACCTAATGTTGATAAGTCCTGGCCCGGAACGAAATTCGGATTAAATGCGACGTACCCCAGAATTTTTGAAATGAGATGATCTGCAGTGAATGTGATAAATGATAGGTGCAGTTGACCAGCAAGCTCAAAGCGACGTAGAGAGGGAAACGCTGGGTCGGTCGGTGGCGGATGGCAAGTTTCTCGAGTGACGTTGTTACTGACAAGTTTCTGTTTAGAAGTTATGTTGGAGAACAAAGAGTGCCGAAACTGAGAATCTTGACTGTCATGGGTGGCCAGCCAGGTTACGTTGAGGATGAGCATCCATAGGCGGCACAAAGTATATTTAGAATGGGCTGAAAGTCTACTCAGCCTCCCATACCTTTGACCGGACAATAAAGAGGAAACACCGTTTCTTCGGGTCGGGCTGATTGTACGAGTCTTCAGCAGTGTGTTGTCTCATGAATCCATCCTGTCTTCCTAGCATGCTATCGATTGTTACGCTTGCTCTGACGCAGCCTATCCCGATAAACTTATACGGACAGGCAGTCAGATGATTTCTTGGGCTTTTGAGTATGTATTTCGTGATTCTGTGCTCTTTTTCTTTCACTAATAGATAAACGAAGCGAAGAAGCTCGGGTTACGCATCTCGTGGCCTTACCCGGTATCTCAGGGTCGATGGTGTCATGCATACTTTATTGAGGTAATCCGACCGGTTCTTTTGGACCACCCAAAGGTGTTTCTTCTTTCTAGATTTCTTTTCTTTTCTTTTCTTTTTTGTGAAAGGTTTTTCTTATAAATTGGTAATTGATTGTACTTCTGTAATGGTTTAAATAAGGCAATTTACCAGAAGGCACCCATTCAACTCATCAAGGGCATGGTTGCACCACCGCGGACATCCCCGGCTCTTGTGTGAATGAAGAAGGACATGATCATGTTTTCTCGCCGTACTTGCAGTGAAATTTCATTATCATGCAGGCCATTCCACGGAGAAGATCAATTGTAGCTGTCTCAGAAGCCAAAGGACGGTCGAAAAGAGGACGGAATAAAGATTGCCCCATAGAAGCATACTTAGAATCAGCCATCCGGGATGACATCACAAGCTGGGTTTAAATCCGCGCGACGCATAACGAGCCGTTGCGTACTCATCAAGCTATCAATATGACTGGTCAGACATCAGACGTTTCATCCTCTGAGCTACCGTCGGACACGGTCTCGGATTGTCGGGGCGACTGTTATTGCGGACTACTTAAAGGCCGAGCTCCCCGGGATCAGAGCTTCGCAGCTTTGACATCAGCGCATCAAGCTTTCGTCTGACTACCATCGTTCTTCGGCAATCAAGCAGGATACAGCGACCATGTCAACGGTCTTTCATGTCACTGTTCACGTTGCGCCGCAGGACGTCTCGAGATTCCTGCGGGCTGCGGAGCCGACAATTGAAAAGATGAAGAAAGAGTCCGAGCTGATGTATTTCGAGATGTATCAAGTTCATGACTCTCCAGGAACGATTACGTGGATTGAGAAATGGTACGCTTAGCTTACACTAACAAACGGGACCGAAGAACATCTTCTAATATTCTTTCCAGGTCAGAGCCAGTAGACTGGATAATGAAGGTTAGATGAAGTCGCCTCCCGTATCTGGTGCTTTGACTGACCGGCGCGATGGCTTTGCAGCACCAAATGACGAAAGACTACTATAATGACTACTTTGACGCTACGGAACCATTTTATATTGCACCTCGGGAGCTGAGAATTTTGAGCTCTCTTGGACCACGTCACACGTATCAGAAGTCGTAACATAAGCTGGGCGTGCTTTGAAGCAATCGGGAAGCGGACTGGAGTTGAATATGAATGTAAAATAGAGGAGCTGAGAATTCGTAGTAAGAAACTAACTTGATTACTGTATCAGTCTATTTGAGAGTCCTGGCTGAACCGACCACCAACGTGTGGAGCGATGGTGTCGCATGTCTTGACAGAGAACAATCCTTCCAGAGAATCTTACATGTACTAAACTTCTAAAACGACACGTATTCTAGGATTATACCCAGACTTCGCTCTTTTCAACAAACCATACAAGCCAGCCGTTCCTTTTACAGCCTCTATCCTGCTTTGATCTCGGGTAATAAGCGTCACCGCCGTTGCGCCAAGTTGTTTTACAGCTTCCAATCCCAACTATTGGGAGAGGCATCCGTAAAGATATGTTCGCACTTTTGACTACACACCCGCCCCATCCAATGCATATTCGGTGCCCTATTACTAGGTTCTTCGAGGCATGTCCATCACAACACTTCACAGAGTTCTGGCCCGAAGCTGATGTAGATTCTCAATCACTTTGATAGCCTTGTCTTCACTGGAGAGATCCGCTAGCTTCCATCTTGCGTTTCTGAATAACTTCAGTGCTACCCAGAGGAGTATGAAGACGATGACCTAGAGAGAATTATTAGGAAGCAAACTACAGGGTGGATTTGATGGAAGCGTAATGGAAATGCCGCACAATTAAGTAAGATGATAGGAATGGGAACCAGTGGAACTTTGTCCACAAGGCAGCCCCGTTGGACACGCCTAAGATGACTATGCAGCCAGCAAATGCAACATAGCCTAGGAGCGGCTGGCCGTGACTGCGATAGGGATAATCATCTTCTGATCCTTTGTTCCACCGCTGAACAAGAGGTATTTGACGAGCTCGTAGAGCCTTCTGGTGTCTTTGAATGCTGTGCAACGTGAGAAATTGGGCGTCCATCGCGTTGAGGCGCTGCTTACCATCGGTAATATCGAATGTAGGCGAAGGATTGACAAGCCCAAACGATAGCAACGCCAACGGATCCCATCTGAGCCAGAATTTCGATGAACTAGATGAGCAAGCGAGACATTAGTTGTGCCAAGATGATTTAATATGGTGTTGGCACACACCTTGCCAATTGTAGTATCTGTGTTAAACCCACCGCCTTCTTGCAAAAAAGGCACCCAGCAGAATGCCAGTGCAGACACGATCATGGCGCGCATCGGAACTTTGCTTTTGTTCGTCTGGCCTAGCCAAGCTAAGCATCTTACTATCATTCGCTGATCGTATCCACCATCAAGACTGCTCGTGATCCCGAACAGAGTCCTTGAAGCCACATAGAGGTTGGTGTTTGCGCAAGTGATGGCTGTGAAAACTAAAGCAGCATTGACCGCGTGATCGAGTCCATAGATGCCTGACCTTTGAGCCATCAAGACGAACGGAGATGAAGATTTTCTCTCTTGATTTTGGCCTGAATCTTGATCTTTGCATGTGTTGTGAACCCAGCTCAATCTGCTTAACTCGCAGTTGTCCCGCTCAAAACCTAAAGTGACTAGTAATCCACTGACAACGTACGCTACCGTGATCAGCACGGTCACCCAAACTGCGGTGAATTTGAGGGTGTTGGCAATGGAGTTCTGAACGTCTTCATGATGGGAGGGTCTACGCTGCAGCTCGCCTTTGTCTCGCAGGCGTTGACGACCGGGCTTGGACCAATGTGCTTCTAGGGCAGAAGCTGCGACAATCTCGACTCCGACGTAAGCAAAAGCTGCGATCGAAGTTGACATCCTGGCTAATATCAGCACAACACGATTTGAAAGTATCGATATCATAGTGGATTGACGTACATCAAGGCTGTACCCCAGTCGTTCGCTGCCAGCTCATCATGAGCTTGAGGTGTTTCCCAACCTTTCAACGTTCTTTAGTTTTGTGCCGAAATACAATTGACTTGCGTACCTTTCTTGGCTTCCGATGGTATCCCAGCTACTGATTGTAAGCTCAAATGTTCTCAACCCTACGATGGGAAAGGAACATGCAGGGTTATAATGCGTGTGACTTAGATCGGCTTTACTTACTTTTCGCATGAATGGCAATCGATATGACGATGATTATGAACAGAAAAGTTATCTTGATACCTCCTGTGATGACTTCCAACATGCCATATTTCTGGGAATAATCTGGTCAGCAATCGTACTGATAGTCCAAGTGCAGAGATCTTGGCTGGGGCGACAGTACTCTACCTTGATGTCTAAAGTGTTGAAGCAAACTAGCATGATAGGAACGGTCACGTAGACAACGCCTATGAGAAAGCCCTTAATGTTGGCTGACCAAAAGTTGATGTATGAGGCTGAAGATGCAATCAGAGCGGCAAACCCAACAGAGTATGTGAACCTGTTAAGCAGTTAAATTGGGAATCGCGCAGCTCGGTCATCCAACGCCCGCGGATGCTCACCAGTAGGCGACGCCAACAGCTATGCCGAGTTCGTTGTCCACGAACTCAGCAACATAGACTGATAGCGCACCTGGGATAGGCCAGATGCATAGTAGCTCAGTAATGCACTGCATGACTGCCCATGCTAGTGACCCGACGAGGAAAAAGGACAAGATAACCGCGACTGGGCCTCCGAGCTCGAGAATCTGACCTGTCCTGCCATATAAGCCAGTGCCGAGTGTTCCGTTGATCGTGATCATCTACTCAAACATCAGTTAGGGTTTCATACTAAATAATTTGAATAGAGGGTTGGAAGGGCTTTGAAAATCATACGAATAGTTGTATGCCGTGCAATTCTCGTCTTACGGTCTTGGCCGGCTCTGACTTCACCGTGATATGCACGTCGTCTTCTTCGGTCGCTTCAACGAGAGCACTATTTGCAGGGTCCTCCGCTGTAGGCAATGGGGAGACGCTGCCGTCTGTCGGGGTCCCTGCGGCTCTGGCTGAGTCTGGGGGCGAAGGGGGCCGCATGGCTTCGCACTGCCTGGTGGATATGGACAAAGATGGGTAGCTAGGAAGCAGAGAGGCTTTGGGCTGTGGATTGGTCCTGAGCTCCCTGTGAGGTGGCCAGTTCAGAACATAGAACGGTAGATTTTTGTATCCAAAGAAGCCATTCGAATTAAAACACCAGCACCTGTCAGCTTCGGAGTGAAGATTCGGGCTGAGGTTTCCAAGCAAACATGTGTCGGCACGAGACGCACTGGCACGTGTCCATAGATGTTAAGACAAGAGGAAGTGCCTGCCTGGAGCCTTGGCTCATAACTACTGAAAAAGGCTGGCTGCTTGCCTTACCTGGTTTGCCGTGTTTGCCTACCAGGCGTGTTGGCACCTCAGCCACAAGCCCTGCTTTGAAATGCAAGACAGCAATATGCCAAGGGGGTTGGATAGGCTTCTGCCCTAGGATAGGCTACATATTGCTTTTTCTTGCACTTTTCTGACCGGATACATAAGGCAGCTTGCGAATGTGATTGTCTCAGTGGAACCACTCGCCTGCATCGTTCACCGAACTTGCCGCCCATTTGGGCGAACCATTCATTGTGTAACTTTTGTGTGTTACGAAGCGGTCTCTCTCAAAGCCCAAGAACTCAAATTACCTTGATACCCCGTACGGAAACAGGGATTACGTATACCAGATGGGCGCGGAATCCGGCTCCTGCAGGCAACACGAAGGCGAACGGTCCGCATCGTAAAGAGTACCTGAGGTAGGTACATGGAACCGAGAAGCCACAGTGCGTTTGGGAGACACAATCAGGCTGCCAAACAAGGCCGAGAAATCAATTCAAGCTGAACAGTCCCTTGAACGGCTGAAGACCCCATTGGATTGGAGCGGTTGCAGACTAATGCCGGGGCATTTGGCCCAGAACAACGTGCTATCTCTACGACGTGGCAGGCAGTGAGTCCTCTTCTACCGCCCGCGATACGAAGGGCGCGTACCTTGGTGCTGGAGCAAGCGTTGGATGGGTTTCAAGGCAACCAATAACCTCATCGTATTCTCCGTATCTCCTCTATGGACCACGCCTAGAACTCCACATCCCTGAAGAGGCAGGTGAATATGTATCGATGTTTTCCGTGCGCCTTTAGCGACCTTGTCAACTATTACCTCTCAATATTTCAAGCAACAAAAGCCAGTGAACTCCCTATTGCCTGAGACTCACGAGGCACCAGGCTGTTGCGGGTATTCTCTGTTGATTGAGCGATGGCGCAACTTTGGTTTGCTCCGAATCGATACATAAAAGAAGACGATCTCAGAAGACTCCTTGAAGAGATTTTCCCCTTGCAGAATGATTATCAAATACAAGTAGGCCACCTTGGCAATCTCACTTATCGCACGAATTTACATTTACATGTTCAAAGCATCGGGGCGACAAGTGGTGCTACTCAGCTTCAAGAGAACTTACTGACGTAAGCCGTTCATAACGTTTGAGACTTATCTGTACGGATACTGCTGACTGAAGCCTGATAGTGGGAGCTGAGGTACTAAATTGCCAGACCGCTGCCAATTTCGAGAAAATTCAAAAGCAGTAGCTGACTTTTGATAAATGTACCTTAGCAAGATAACGAGGAGACGCTAAGCTTACTGTTGACTTGGATTAGGGATAGTAAAACCGAATCTGTCGAAGATCTGAGGCGGAGACACCGGTGGCGGCGGTGGGCTCTCGAGGCAGATTCTCCCTATGCTTAGCCTTCCGATAGGATGTCAAAAGAGGGGTAGTAGTCAACGTCCAGTCTGGTGACACAGGTGCATTGCCTTAATGATGTGAACAAATATATACTCTCCCATTCTTCGATTTGACTTCAAAGCTTCACTTACGACTTTCCCACTGTGACACTTCGTGACCTTCACCTGTTCACATCATTTAGGATGATTCTAGTTCCACAGTGCTATGTGGATGAGGTCACGGAACCAGTGATACTCATTGATGTGTTGAGATCAAACTTGGATTCTGGTACAGCAGATTCTGAGTTAACGCACCGGCGGTTCTCAAATGCAAAAGAGATTCAAGAGTACTTCAGCAACCCGGAGAGCGACAATTTCAGGGATCGTTACATGTATGCACAATTTATCTCTGGCATTTTTGCTGCCTTGATACTAATGACTCTCAGATCAATTTGCCAGGGACACTCATGGGATCCCCTTGAGATCACAGCTTCTATGCTAGAGTCCTTGGCCGAAGCATGCGAACTGGGCAGTTCACTTTATGATTTGACGACCAGTTTCTATCGGCGAGTTCGAGATATCGAAGAGACGTTCTGCATCCCGTTGACAGAGTGTACAGATGGTTCATTGACCGGTAAGATACCCTCATGGTTGTTCAGAAGAAAGCTCAACCCTAACTCACCCTAGAAATAGCGTACACCATGCGATACCCGGAGTTGAAACCAATGAGAAATGACTGGGTGGTGCGACAAACAGGCATTTATCACAAGTTTGATGCCACGACATCCCAAAATACCTACGTCCTCTTGAACCCATCCCCCGATGCAAAAGTGAAGAAGCAGGCAGAGCATAATCTTCTCCACTGTTATCAAACCATTGAAAACAACCCATTGTGGCTGCACATGATGTTCCAAGAGATCTGCTTGCCAAACTGGAGATTGTACAATGCGAGCCTGGAACGCGAGTTTCTTCCGATGGTGAGTCAAGAGCTGAGGACCCAAGCTACGGAAGAACGTTGTGATTGATTCATTGTCAGGCAGACACTGCAGCTCATACGTTCATTGAAGAGCTTACTGAATCGCAATACAGCCATTTGACCGACCTTGCCGATCTCGAGAATCGATTCCTGCAGACTTCGATTATTCTCACTGCGTCGCAGGACGTTCTTGATTGCCTCGTTACCTTCTGTGCTGATCTGAAAGATCTGAGCACGGCTTGCGAGAAACAAATTCAGATATCGAAGCGTCGATTCCGGCACAGCCAGCGCGTGTGCGCTGCCAACCACAGAACAGCGGCGTATCTACATCAACGTTCCAGAACGACTGCACAACTTTTGGCAAATGCGTTATCGTTCCGCGAACAACTGGAGTCCAGAGCTCAAAATAGTAGCATGCTGTCACTCAACAGGTCGGCCGTATTTATCACTACTCTCACATTGTTATACTTGCCGCCTTCTTTCATCGCCGTAAGTGAAAAAAACTGAAGAAAGCCCCAGTACTCCATGAATCTCGTTGACGTGCGGTGAACAGACGTTTTTTGGGATGAACTTCTTCGACCTAGACACAGACACAGGTCGAATTGTTGGAAGCTCGATGATATGGATCTTCATCCTGAGCTCATGCATCTTGACAGTGGTTACATTCATAGTTTATCGCTTGCTCCTCGGTGGGAATATGCATGCACGAATTATTGAGATGACCAAATTATTGCATACATTGTGGAGGCATCACACGCGGTATCTAGGTCGAAATCAAGGTGTACGCGAGGAGAAAATGGAACATGTTAGTTGTGATGTGTAAGATAGTATATCCGTATAGCAACTGAGAGTTTTGTAGTAGGGTCTTATTCGCACACGTACGCATCAACGCGGCAACAAGATCTTATATACAGCGCTCCTGTCAAGGGAGACTAGAGCTGTAACAAGCACAACTTTCTTCCCGGTTTCTTCTTTATCGACCACTTTCAACATGGCTTCGTCAGAATCCGAAAGGCCACCAAGCTCTACTATCTTATGGACGGATGGTTGGCCGTGTAAACCTGTCCGCGTAATACGTAGTAGCGATATCCTATGGTCTGCCGACTGCCGACCCAGGGCTATGAAAGTCTCATCTGTTCTGTCGACAACAATTCTGAGCAGTCTATACCTGTCAATGATGTTCAGTACGGGATCCCTGGCGGTATCTCTGTGTCCAGAGAATCCAATCTCGAACATCTGCTTCTCGTGGGCAACAACGACCACGCCAGGCTTGTTGTGGAAGTGGGCACTTGTCGTGAACAGACTCGAAGTATGACCACTGGGTCCCTACATGTATCTACGTGGTCAGTGAAAAGATTATAGCATTCACCAGTCAGTCGATCATCACTGACCTCTGGGGTGAAGGTAAAGCTCCCAAATCTAGGCTGATCAACATTCCCCGGTCCAAGTTGGGCCAGTGAAACGCTCTTGACGGATACTGTGTGACTTTGGTTTTTCGGGCGGATAACAAGGTATCCTTCTGATGGGGTTTTCATACACAAATGAATGACTTCAGAAACAGGCCATTTGAGAAGAAACCTGTATTCATCCATGAGAAATGCGTCTTCATGCTGGGATACCGGTCTGTGAGAAAAGTTGTTAACCATTGTGTTGTGATCGACAACCATGACTAGTTGACCAACCTCGTCTCTGAACTCAATAGTAATGGTTGGCTGACGCGAGCTCTGAACAGTATGCTACGACTATTGTCATGTTCATCTTCCGAGACCCAGAAGACTATATTACTATTCTCAACGAGATCGAGCTTCTGTACCGGGTTTGAAAGACGAATGATGCTAGGGGTTTCTTCGAAACTGGGAGTCGCAGCTTGACCGCCCTGTATTCGGAAGATGAAACACTAAACAATGCAAGTAAGCTAGGGTAAGCCAAATTAAATCTCGCATCATGAAGAAGTAATTACTGACCTTCGACGAATCACCACCCGTCGTAGTCGCAACTACATAACGCCTCGATATCTTGGCAGCCGTCCAAAATCCATTACCGTCCTCAAGTTTGTACTTTCCGATTGGCTGTAGAACACTCTTTTTCACATCCACAGTAGAGGCTGATGTGAAAAGAAAGAGCCAAGAGTCGCTCCAATATATTATGGAGCCATCTAGCGACGTATCACAGCCCTTGAGGCTGACAGGTGTTCGAATCCCCAAGCTCCAATGCTGAACACCATCTTGGCTCTTGCTTCCTTTCATCATCCTTCCAAAATTAGCAACGTACCAATCAGATCATATAGTTGATGGCAAGAACTCACTCTGACAGTGATGTGAACTTCTTCAACAAATGCCGTTTCGACTTGAGCTGCTCGGCAGATTTCTCCGGAACCGCTGTTCCCTTGTACCTCTCAACCGTCTCCTTTAAACGGTCTGCTACAGTTTTGGCATCGCATCGGTCCCTCTGATCCAGCTGAAACACTCTATTCTCCAGGAAACCAAGCATGAAGCTCACTGGATCCTTCTCCAAAGGATTGCGGGAGTTGGCTTTGGCGATAAGCTTTCTGTGACATTGCTTTACTGCTGAGCTGACCTTATATCCCAAGTAAGTTTCCTTGAAGAACTCCTCTGTATTCCCATTCTCTCTGCGCCGAGACTCGTGGTATTGCTTGATCCCTTCTGCGCCCTCCTCTAGATGCGTGAACAAGACACTGATGATGCATCCAAGCGACCAAACGTCGCTCTTTTGATTCATACTTCTTTCAGGCGAAAGAGCCTCACTGGGAAGATATGTACCAATACCAACACGGCCTTGGGTCCCAGACATTGTATCGGAATGAGTGTTTTTGTTGAACATCGTATTGAAATCGATATCCCGTTCTCCAACATTTGGTGAAGTCGAGTTGTGGGGCATCTTGACTCTGGACATCCCAAAGTCGCTTACTTTCCAAATCAAATCTTCTTCGTGACTTCCTTGGCGAGTATCCTTGAAGATCAGAATGTTGCTAGGCTTTAAGTCCATATGGTAACACACCATCTTTTGCATATCGGGCGTCTTCATTTGCGTATGAAGAAAATGGAGCCCGTCGGCGAGACCCCATGCGGACTTGAGGCTTCGTATTCTGGCATCGGCATCCAATTTCGGCTCGTGATCCTTGACCATCAAATAGTTCTCCAGGTTGTCGATTGCTAGCTCCATGAAGAGACTAAACCTCAATGGATTACTCCCGATTTCGAGGGTGCCAATGCTCTCCAGAATGTTGTCGTGCTTTGATGTACTTTGGAGGATCTTTCGCATAGTCTCAGCCTCCTCCCTGAAGTTGATGGCAGACTTAACCTTGTAGTCTTTGCGTGCCAACGCTTCTGGTTCAGGATTTGCGTATCCCTTGACCACGAAATGGCCTTTTGCTACCACAACCTTGTAAACATCTCCGTAGGACCCAGATCCCAAGTGCTCCTCCTCAAGCCATGGAAGTCGGCAAGTGTCAAGACTCTTCACAACGGTTCCAATCTCTTTAGGTCCATTACGAATGACGACTGTAGAGAAACATGCTTGGTTTTTGTAGAACAGATCCACAGTCGTCTCATCAGAGCCAAAAACCTTCTTGAGTAAGGTTCGATCTGCTGGTAGAAGGCTTCGCCGAGAATTATTACTGGTGCTCATATATTCAGTCCAGATAGCCCCACAAACAAGCTTCGTAATGAAAGACTGCGCGGCATCTATAGGGCACATCGCGAACAACAGAACTGCAAGGAAGTCGTGGAGGTGCCTGTGTTGCACCAGCTTGGAAAATTCATGTTTGTCGATCCCGAAAATTGGCTTCTCCGTACACCCAGTAAGAAGGGCCTCGAAGAATTCTTCCAGATGTCTTGGGGTGAGTACCTCTTTCGCGGTACCTGTGGTAGCAAATTGTTCGCTGTTGCTGTCGCCTTTCATCAACTTCTCGCGTAGTTGTTTGTAGATATCGCGACGAAACGCATCGTAAGTCGCCATTTCTACCTCGAATCAGTTGAGAGGAACCAAATTCGGAAACTTTAGCAGAAACATGCGGTAAGAAAGCCGTGCGACGGGACAGGCATGGCGACAACGAGGTCAGCATGACAGGTTGGTGAGAGATTGTTGCAAGAGGGGAGCTAGCAAGGCTCCGGGGATGAAGGATATTTGGAGAACGAGGTAAGGGAGGTACGCTGGTCAGCAAGAGGCAGCCAAGTTAAACACTCACATCATTGAATGACGGCTGGTTGGCAGGTGACAGCCATCCATCCTGTCCTACCACCTGTTCATAACATACATGCAGCTTACTGCACGGCACAGTTGGCGGCACAGATAGGCAAACATTGGCAACCTGGCGCCCTCAGAAGAGACCACTTGCCTGAAATGGACTGTCTGATAAGGGAGGCGATGCAAAACGCCACTCCTTTATGATTCGTCGATTCCCGAGACAAAAGTGTTCTGGAAGATGCAACCCGAGTTACTGAGCCAGCCAGCTGTCAAAATCTTGTTGACCCAATGGCGCTCGAGATGTCTTGGAAGCCTGGATTTCTATGCTTGTAAAGCTCAACTATGTGGAATACTACATTCTTCTATGCCCAGCCTCGTGTCGATTCCAAACACGCCGCAGTACCGACGCCGTCAATTGCTTGAACAATAATCCACGCTATGCCTGTGATAAACCATGAGAGGGACATGTCTTGTACATTTTACCAATCATCAAAACCCCGCCTGTCATATAAGATGTTGCCAGAAAAAGAGGGCCTTCATCTCACTAAAATACATTTCATCTTTCGTCGTCCCACGGCATTTGGCAGATGCTATCTCTTTTGACTTCCCCTTTATATTAGCCACTACCTACACGTATCTTGCCTTGTTTGACTGCATCTGCTACCTACCTGCAACCAATTCAAAAGATCAGATATGATGATCATTTTTGTCAGCACACTATTTGCTGTTGTTCTTATTCTCAGCTGCCACGCTAAGCGGGCTTTGAAGCAAGGAGGCTTCATGTCGACTTCTATCAGGCTAGTGTCGTGGGACTTCAAATTATCCAATATTGCTTCGTGGTTGTTGATTAGAGAGGGTAGATTTCCCGAAATTGTATTGCCAGCGCAAAGGCCTGGAGGCCATCAAATTTGCGCGTTCAGAAGAAGTATTGAAACTTGATATACGCTTTCATGATCTTACCGAAAGCTCCGTGAAGGAATGGTACTATCATATTTTGCACCAGACCACAATGAAGTTAGATTGGTACCGACCTTGAGCATTGGCAATGGACTCCAATTCTTCGAAGCCACTGTCTCATAATTCTCAAGTTAATGCCAGCCTTCCGACATCGATATTATATATGGTGTTTCCGGTGTGAAAGTTGCGAGTCGAATACCAAGACTTCGCTGATAAAAGGGCCGAGAGTGAGTAGTCCACGAAAGTAAATCGATGAGTAAAGAGGCTAAGTAACATGAAAGTTCGATTACCCAATTGCTCTTTGGCCCGGCGGCCTGGGCCTTTGGGGTCTTGGCAAGATAACACCTCTTGGCGAGCGACATCGCTGGAAGCTCCGGAGGTTGTTCCAAGACTTTTCCACCCCACACTTTGAGGGGCCTCCTCCACACTGAAGATAACCACATTCCTATTTCCGCATAGTTTGGGGACAAGTACAGTGATCATCGTACCGCCAGAGGAAACATCATGACGTCTCTGGCATTGGAGCAGGGTAAATGAGGCCTTGGCGACACTATCGATGTCGGCTGGAGGCCGAAGTGCCCCGGTAAGGATAAATAGAATAGCAGACATGGTCGCACTCTGTGCTGCCCGCCGATGCTCCTGATCGTCTTGCGCCTTCCAACCTCAGAAAACTGCTGAAACTCCGGAGCCAACTCCGTGCTTGACAATGCACGTCCCAGAGATTGCGGCTTTCGCCCTGCTTCACGTAGGCCTTGCTGCGGCTCAGCTCACCTATGCTAGCAACCAGGTCGAGGTGATCCCGGATACCGAAGCGGTAGCGGCGAACTTCCCAGAAGTCGAGGACGTTGAGCTGGGCTCGCCCAGTTTCACCAACCCGGACAGTGTCCCGGCCACCTTTGCTAATGGCACGAGCGGCCCGACGGACCAGTCAACGCTCGGTGAGTTGAATTGAACTGAGAAGCTTGACTCTGCTGCCCACTTCTGACGACCTACAATCGCCAGACTACTTCCTCCAAACTCTCGCCGCGCGCAATGAGTGGATGACCTACCACAGCCCAGACTTCAAGTCGGAGGAAGGCCGCTCGATTCCTTACGTCTACCTCTCAACCTCAAAAGGCGTCCCGACGGATACCAGCCAGAACACCTACGGCAACACCAGTGCGCCCGCAAAGGTGCGGATCTGGATGCAGGGCGGCGTCCATGGAAACGAACCAGCCGGCGACCAGGCCTTGCTCGCCCTTCTCGGCAGATTCGACGCCAATGCCACCTGGGCGGCCTCAATCCTCGAGAAAGTGGACATCATGATGTTGCCCCGATACAACCCGGATGGTGTAGCATACTTCCAGCGTTACTTTGCCACCAGCTTCGATCCCAACCGCGACCACACGAAGCTTGCACGCCAACAGACCCGGGATATCAAGCAGCTGATGGTGAGCTTTGCGCCTCATGTCGGTGTAGATTGCCATGAGTACAGCCCTACTACACCATTTGGAGCCAAAGAGCAGTGGGTGGATGCCCAAGACGGCCAGTTCTCGGCCATGAAGAACGCCAACATCCATCCCGATATCCGAAACATCTCTGAAGCCGTCTTCGCAAACAACATCGCTGCGGCCATGGAGAGACGTGGCCTGCGATGGGGTCCTTACATCGTCGGTCCCTCGGGAACAGACGATCTTGTTCTCGAAGAAACTACCGGCGACGCCAAGATCGGAGACAGCGCCGTCGCGTTGACCCAGGCCATCATGTTCCTCACCGAGACGCGAGGCATCGGGCTAGCAGACCAGCACTGGCAGCGCCGCGTCGCAACAGGACTGACGATGGTCGAGACAATCGTCCAGACAGCCGCCGATAGGGCCGAAGAAGTATACTCGACAGTAGAAAACGCGCGCGCAAAGTTCATCGCCAGCACCGACGGTATAATTGTAACGGAATCTGCTCGCCCGACCAACATCACGTGGCAATTCATCGAAGCGACGACGGGAGAACTCGTAGATGTCCCCGTCCAGTTCCTTAACACCACGCCCGTGGTGGCGAACCTCACCCGCTCGAGGCCGGAGGCTTACGTCTTTTCGCGCGCATGGGCTGATGTTGCTGAGCGTCTGCGTATCACCGGTCTTGAAGTGCAGACGTTGCAGTCTGACTTCCAAGGCGAAGTTGAGGCATTCAATATCACGAGTGCCGAAGTGGCGCGAACAAAGTACGAGGGAATTGCTCGTACTACGGTGACGACGGAGACCGTGGTCAAGGAGGTTCGGATCCCGGCCGGCGGGTTCTGGGTCAGTACCAGGCAGAAGAATGCCGCACACGCGTTTGTGACGCTTGAGCCGGAAGGGATCGACTCTTATGCTACGTTCAATGTTCTACCGGTGAGCGTCGGTGATGAGTACCAGGTCTACCGCGTCATGGCATAGGAGACGAGACAAGACAAGGAGATAATTACTTTCAAGTCTCTTGGTTATAAGAATTAATCATAATGAACAAATTTGAAGTTCACATTTACTATTCCGCAAATTGAACCTTCTTGATTACGGACTGAGTATGTTATTGGAGACTCTTATAACTGCCTGTCAGCGAGGTTGCCTTCATGAGTTGCTATGCTGGAGTGTTCTGGCTAAAAGTAAGGTGGTTTCGTCACCAAAGAACAAATTCCCACAGTAGCATTTCGAAGAGATCCTGCAAGGACTAGATAAGCTCTAGATCGGCAAGCTTCTGTAGACCTTCATCAGCCGGAGGATTGCCCCAACATGCCTGCCTAATTCTCCGCGGTGAATTGCACGAGTGGGTCTCTCTCAAAGGGACGAGCTCCGGGTTCCGGTGCGGGGGGACTGAGACAACGCACCGTCCTGCTCGGTGGCCTTATAAGTGACGAGCACCCACGAGATGTGATCAGAAGCAGTCAAAAGACTATCGAAGCCATCTGCAATGCGCATAATAGCTGAAAATGGAAAACGTGCAAAAGTTTCAGAACCCCATCATTCCAGGGTTTGCGCCAGACCCCTCGGTCGTCATGGTCGATGGGATCTTCTACCTCGTCACCTCATCCTTTCACATCTTCCCGGGCCTGCCTATATACGCCTCCCGTGACTTGCAGAATTGGAAGCATATCGGTAAGATATTATATCACCACATCGAAAAGAGTAACTCCCAGCTAACCCGACTGCGTCAGGTAATGCAATCAACCGCCCAGAGCAACTCACCCTCGCCAACGCAGGCACAAACTTCTTCACCCTAGACACCGGCCACACAATGATCGCAACAGGCGGCCTCTTCGCAGCCACAATCCGTCACCACCGCGGGAGATTCTACATCGTCTGCACCAACTGCGGCTCCTCAAACGGATCCTCTGACCTAGAAAACTTCATCATTCATACCATTGACATTTGGGGCGGAGAATGGAGTGACCCCATCCCAGTAAACTTTCACGGCATCGATCCAAGCCTTTTCTTCGATGATGACGATCGTGTATACTTCCAAGGCTGCTTCGTCATGGACCGCTCAAAGCAGCCGAGTTGTACGATCAAACAGGTTGAAATTGATATTCTCACCGGGAAGCAACTCTCCGAGCAACGAGAGATTTGGGGTGGGCATGCGAGGTACGACACCGAGGGACCGCACGTGTATAAAGTCGATGGGTGGTACTACCTCCTAGTAGCCGAAGGCGGGACCTTTGAGCACCATATGCTTTCCATCGCGAGATCAAGAGAGATATGGGGACCGTATGAAAGTTTCAAGGGGAACCCGATCATGACTGCCGATGGCAAGGACGAGTACATCCAGAACATAGGCCACGGCGAGCTGTTCAAGGATGCGAGAGGAGCATGGTGGGCCGCGGTGCTCGGCGTCAGGAGGGATGGTGATGGATGTGCTGCTTTGGGGCGTGAGAGTTTCCTTACGCCTGTTGAGTGGCCTGAGGGGGGATGGCCACGGATACTCCAGCCCAGAATGGAGTTTGAGAGGGAGGAGTCTGCGGAGGTTGCGTCGAGCTTGGATGTACAAGCTTGGAAACCACCCGCCGGTGTTGCGAACGTCTTCATCAGAGATCCCGACTTTTCCAAGTACCGGCTCTCTAAGGATGATGAGCGCAGAATTACGCTTTTGCCAAGTCGCACTGGATTCTCAAGTTCTACTGGGACCTGCACTTTCCTCGGAACAAGACAGAGATCTTTGGCGAGTTGCGCCGTTGCTTCTCTCGAACTTGACGACAATATGAAGTCAGCAAACGGGCTTCGAGTAGGTTTGGCGATGTATAGAGACAGCGTCCGCCACGTCTCTATCGCATACGACTCCGCCGCTGAAGCCGTCGTCTGCCACGCCTTCAACTCTGCGATTGGTCTTGATAAGGTCTTCCCAAAGACTCTTCCACTGGAGAACAAGACACAAACGATCACTTTCAAAATCCAAGCCTCGAAGACTGAGTGGAAGTTCTATGCTGCACTGCATGACGAAGATGGCGCTCTTTTTGACAACAAAAGTCTCAGCCTTGGTAGTTGCAAATGGGAAGAGCTCGGGGTGGTTGCGGTCAAAGACCTTGATGCCCGGGACTTCACGGGTCCTATCCTGGGCATCTTCGCTCAGACTTCAGTTGAGAAGACTGAATATGTACCAGTGAAGTTCTCTCGCTTTGCAGTGGAAGACGATGGATTCAGTACGTAGGGCAATGACGTATCAAGCAATAAACTCGTGGCTCAAGATACAAGCAATTCATGACCTAGGTACCCAAGGTACCTGGAGATATGCTATAGCCATGTCGAAAATTTGTCTGATAGAGATGAAGGTGAATAGTTCGGGGTAAACTAAACAGGGCAATAACATGGTAAGGACTCAAAGAAAGGACGGGGCAACACGCGGTCAAGCGTCGGGAACAGGTCCTATTATAACGACACAACCAAAAGGTAACCCAGCAAAAGATTTTGACCAGCATGGGGATCGAACCCACAATCTCCTGATTCCACGGTATATCGTAGTCAGACGCCTTGCCATTGGGCCAACCGGCCAGACAATTCAGAACATCTTTGATGCTCGTCTGTGTCGAGTAGCGTCGAGTTTGGGCTTCAAGTTTCGTTGCGAAATGGGCGGGTGCTTGACGGTTTTGACTTGGCAGATCGAGGGTCTGTGATGTTGTTGCAGCGGGCCAATGACGACCTCTCAATTTGGAGTAAAAGTGAAAAAATTTGCTAGCTGCTTTGTTCGGCGGAATAGTAGGGGGGCCGAGGGGCAGGCTAAATGCCTCAGCCCCTCCCGATGTCGGGGGGAACCGTGTAATTGGCGTTGGTTCCCGAATTTCTTCGGCCCCGCTGGGAAGGGATTGCGATGATGGCATTGGGGTTTGGTCAAAGAGTGGTTCGGTATAGCGTGAGTCACTGTCCCAATCCATTGCCTCCTTTGCTGGAGTGTGACGGAATATCAGCCGGTGCTTTAGATCCAGCTGCCAAAGTATGTATCAGATGGAGTAGTGTAAGAGTGACAAAAACTCATCGTAAGCGCAAGTCTGAATGATTGTGGTCTTGTGTGCGATCTATTGTTTTCAGGTGCAAATGGAAGTTCTATCGATAATTCCATAGAGACTCAAGGTCTCATCTCTTGTGATCTTTTGTGTTGTAACCACTCCTCTGGGCCCATTTTCCTCTTAAAGCACAGAGATGACCGGATCTAGTATCCACGGAAAATAAGGTCCTCTCTCTTGGGGCCAGTGCCGATCCAGACAACCTTGACACCCACAAACTTCTCAATGAACTCAACATACGCGCGAGCCTGCTTGGGTAGGTCGTAGTACGTCTTGGCGCCTGTCGTGGGCGTGTTCCAGCCCTCGAGCTCCTCGTAGACGACCTCGGCGTCGTCAAGAGCCCTGATGTTGGCAGGGAAGGAGGGGAACTCCTCGCCAGTGTGCTTGTTCTTGTAGCCGACGGCGACCTTGATGGTGGGGAAGGTATCGAGGATGTCGAGCTTGGTGAGGTTGAGAGCCGTGTAGTGGTTCAGGTCGTGCGAGTACTTGATGACGACCAGGTCGAGCCAGCCGCAGCGGCGGGAGCGGCCAGTGGAGACACCGATTTCGTGGCCAATCTTTTGGAGCTTCTCGCCCGTCTCGTTCAGCAATTCCGTGGGGAATCCGCCGCCGCCGACACGGGTGGTGTAGGACTTGACGACACCGACGACGTTGTTGATTTTTCTAGGGTTGAGGCCGAGCTAGTGATGTGTCAGGGCATGAGTCTGTTTATGGGAGGATCATCTGAACTTACACCAGTGAAGACACCGCCGAGGCCAGTGTTTGATGATGTGACGTAGGGGTAAGTACCGAAGTCTATCAAGATCAGCAAGGCGATCCATAATCCTGCCATAGTGTTCACGTACTCAAGTCAAGCATGACAGCCTGGGCACCCTCAACGAGGATCTTGTTGCCGTTCCTCTGGGCGTCGGCGATGATGGGAACAGCGTCGACAACAAAGGTCTACGGGGGCATGTTAGTCATAGGTACGGCATTTCATCGTCGCAAAGAAACTTACGCGAAGGTCCTCTCTGTACTGCTTAAAGCGCTTGATCTCGTCCTCAACATCGTAGACAAGGAGATCGCCGAAGCGCTTCTTGAAGCCCTGAGCGAGCTGGCGAAGCTTGTGCTCAAAGAGCTCCTCATCGAACATCTCGCTGATGGTGATGCCGTTGCGAGCAGCCATGGTGCTGTAGGTTGGGCCGATACCGCGCTTGGTGGTGCCGATGCTGTTGCCGCCCAGCTCCTGCTCCTCCAATCCGTCAACCTGAATGTGGCAGTCGGTGATGATGTGGCAACGGTCGGACACCAGGAGGCGCTCGCGGATGTTCTTCAGGCCTTTGGCCTCGAGATCGGCCATTTCCTTGAAGAAGGTCGGGACGTGGACGACGGCGCCGGATCCGATGAGGCTGATGCACTTTTGGTGCAGGAGACCAGAGGGAAGAAGGTCTGTGGGTGGTAAACATCAGCATAAGGGGGCCAAAGGAGCGTTGCGATGGGATAAAGACATACGGAAGTCGTAGCTGACGCCATCGACGATGACGGTGTGACCGGCTGTTGGAGGTCGGGTTAGATTTTACACGTCGCGATGGCTTCGGGAGTTGGAGTGACTTCTACCATTGTGTCCGCCCTAGGGCCATCAGCATGCCATTTATTATCCAAAAGGTACCAAAAACCCAACCTGAGCTCTGGCGCAAATCTGCGCGTCTTGTCCGAGGCTATATCGTGGATGTCAGAAGAGGGGCCCGGGGGCGGAATTGAGGGCATTGGGGATAGCTTACACGTCGACCAGCTTTCCCTTACCCTCGTCACTATTTGAGCGTGATATGTTAGTTCGTGATTCCGCGGCAGGTCTTCAATGGCGCAGCAGAGGTGAATGTTTGTCGATGTGTCGCGATCCATCGAGAGCATACGCATACACGATCGATACGTGTACACCCTTGAGGTCCCTCTCTATCATAGATCACTCTGCTGGCCGGAGGTTGAAAAAAATGATCAATGCGCAAGAGCACAAGGCAGACAAAAGAGAGAAGCGGGAGATTGTGAGGTGAGAAGACGCATGGATGTGTAGAGCAAAAGGTAGAGCAAATTTGGGCCGCGAGAATGTTGACAGCTTACCCCCACTGGGCGCCGAGAACGATATCAATCGTAGCCATGGCGTCCGGTATGGATTGAAATGTGCGAGAGAATGAGAGAATGTGTGTATAGCAACAAGCAACTTGTTTTAGCGAATTGTCCAAAGTATGGGTTGCTGCGATCGCAACGTCGGTCTGCGATAACTTCACAAAAACAATCAGAAGGGGAAGACGCGGGGTTTAAAAATCGGCCATGGAGGGGCAGGTTTTGCTTTGGCGGGGTTCCAGGTCTGCGGGCCAACGTGACGGCGGGCCCACTTCTCTGCTGCTTTCCTCGCTGCGATGACTCTTTCCCGCAGGCGTAGGGCAAGGTCATGACGGTGTACCTTCCATTTGGTCAATTGCTGCTGCCCGCTGTGCTGTGCGCTCCAAAACGATTGCGTTATCGGCCGTTCGTCGGGACTCGGTGAGTACGTACCGCGGCAATGGTGCACCAGTCGCCGGCTCAACGGGACGGAACCGTCCGGAGTGGAAGAATCAGGCAAGGCCGGACGATACTCCGTCATCCATGTGGCTGACGATGAATCAGCCACAGAACCACAGCCACAAATTCCCAACCGTTCCCAGCCACATTGCTCTCCCCTGGCCACACCTTAGGTCAGAATGAATTCTCAATTAGTCCCCTTTCCTGCGTGTCTGTTGCTTGCTGAACCCAGCTAGCTAAAGATCTGTTCTCATTGAGCAAGGACTCTTTCCCAACTGCTTGGAGCAACTTCAATTGACCATGGATCAGAGACTTCGACAAGAGAACAGCCAGCACAGGCGTATACCTCTCGCGGAGGCGCAACTTAATAACCAAGAGTCCTACTCTCGTTATTAGCAGTCCCAAGTTTGTGCTTGTTCTCAACACCTTGCGCTTCCTTCATCCACCATCCACGTGCTGTCGTCCGAATTAGAGCAAATCGGCCGAGCCTACTGGACCTAATCGCATCAAGCTCATGAACCCGGCGCACATCGCAACCCCTGCTCATTCTCCGCTTTCGTGGCATGTTTTCATCGCCGAAGGCCGAAGTAGCTGTATTTCTCCCAGGCACGAGAAGTTCAACCTGTCCGAAACCCAATCACTCAAATTTTTGTGGCAATACAATAGAGCCTGTCTATTACTACGGGTAGACAAGAGTCAGGCAATGATTTATTATGCGTTAATGTCACACTTAATGATTCAGAGTACAATCTCCAGGCAGTCCTCATCAGGTTGTAAGGATTGAAAATATACACCAAAGACCACAGTGAAGGCCCTTCACATGCCGTTCCGGGCTCATCCTCGGGCTGAGCAAAAGTTCCATACCTATGGATACCATGGACCAACATCACAACTCATGACCAACAAGATTGAAAAGCGCTCACTCGTCGGAACACTTACCGAGCAAAGGCAGGGGAACCCATGAGGGACTGGGACCAGCCTGGTGTAATTGGAGCACACCAGGGCCACAGCTGAAAACTTGCCTAGGCCTACCGAGAACGCCGACGCCATCCAATCTTATCTGATGGATCAGATAACTTTCCTCGTCCCCTACCCCACGCCTCCTCTGCAGCCTTTATCAATCTCTTCACTCCCCTCCAACCAATGATAATTGTCACCAACGGCCGAACTAGCGTTCTCCTCTCCACCTCGCCGTCAAAAAGACCCTAGACGCGACCCAAATGAAGCGAGAGAGCTCTAACCGAGCATCCTGATCTGGCATGGCTGCTATGCGTAGCAGTGCAACCCCTTGTCAAGTTGGCCGGACCATCTAACCGACCCTGGCTTCGAATGCACCATCGGATCACTCAACACGAACGCCCTATTCTAATAACGCTGACGATGGAGTGAGGGAGGGACTATCTGCCTCGCGTGCGGACGCCACATGCAGAAGCCTGACTCTCACATTCTCCAGGAACATGGCCAGCCCTTCAAGGCACTGCACATCAGGCATGAGCTTGGGAGGTCCTCAAAGTGCTTCTACATATATAACATCGCATGTACCTACGGCGCGATCCAGGCTTGCTCGAAAATTCCTTGCTTTGTCCCACGCGTTTCACTCATCTTCTAATATCTTGGTTCACATCTTCAAAAGTCTGCCTTTTGTGTCATCCAAAAAGCCGAAAGTCTTACCGCAGCCCTTAAGATGAAGTACTCATACGTCCTCCTGGCTACCGCCGGTCTCGCCGCAGCCCAGCAAAAGTTCACAGACGTCGTTCCCAAGTGCTCCATCGAGTGCCTGACAAAGGCCGTAAAGGACGGCACGAAATGCAGCAGCATCGACGACTCTGCCTGCATCTGCGAGGCGGACAACTACCGCAGCATCTACACCGTCGGCGTCAACTGCGTCCTTCAAGCCTGCGGCTCTGACGTTGCTATCGGTATGTTAAATTAGCTTTAGTCTTTCTCTATCCCACTTTCACCACGCCTTGACACTCCCTGGCAACAATTAGGCGCCATGACTGACACTTGCTCTCAATAACAGGTCAGCTCCTTCCCGCCGCTGGCAAGTTCTGCCGCGAGGTCACCGGCGGCGCCTCCGCTCCTCCCGTCGACTCTGCCTCTGCCTCAGCCTCCGCTGTCGTTTCCTCTGCCATCGCCTCTCTGTCATCTGCCGCCGCTTCTGCATCTACTGCTGCTTCTAACGTGACTACCTCCGTCTCGATCACCGCAACACCGACTACTGGCGCTAGCAGCACGGCTGCCGCGGCTACCACTGCTTCCCAGGCTGGCGCTGCTCCTGCCTTGGCTTCTATGGGCGCCCTTGGCATGCTTGCCCTTGGTGGCCTTGCTGCTTTCTAGAGCAATGTTCTCCGGGAAAGGCGTAACTGATGAGCAATGTAGAGGAGGTCGGAAATGGTCACTCTTAATAACGAGCTAGGCTGAGCGATGCCATATAGAAATACCAGGCACCCAGGATGTTCACTCCCCATCTGGCGATAACGTGATCTTATTGGGATGATCGGGAGATACCCCGCGTATAATCAACAAATAAAGTACATTCACTATGTTCCTTGAATAGTGCATCCTTTCAATAACGCATGATCTCTCGGGATTCGGAGCCTCATGACGACGTTTCCTTGGACGAGAATTGAAAGTCAAGCGAACCTCCAATCTTTTCTTGAACTGTCCAACCTTCATCTTCCATGCCCGCGAATTCCACACCATGCCGTATGTCTTGCTCATAAAACTTGAGCTCCACTCCCAACTCCTCTAGTTGTGTCCTGATCTTCAGTTCCTCAGAACTCCTTTCCACCGCGTTGCCTTTGTTGATGATGATGTGTAAGGAGCGAAATTGGGGAAGGTCGCCTCCTTTAACCCGTTCCACTAGTCCCCGTCCAACGTCGACCAAGAACCGATCCCGGCAGCCTGAAAGAGATAGGCATCGCAGGGTAGACGGCAGCGACGATGCCACTTCGCCGCCTTCGGATCCCATGAAGTGCTCAGTCCGGCACTCGATTCTCAAGACTTCAAGCATCTTATACTCGCAAAGGTATCCCTGTGGGTTACGAATACCGTCATACCAGTATGACCTATAGCTGCCACCAAGGCGTAGACGTTTGAGGGTGGGTGCGAGGTCTGTTAGACGCCTGGCGCAGGAATCATTCAGCTCGCAGCACGGTCTCCATTCCATATCGTCGTGGTTGACATACTGAATTCCATCCATGCGGTCGCAGCGTGTGAACATACAATCAATTGCAAGGTCACGCAAGCTTCGACCATCGTCGAAAGGCCATCCGTAGGGTCCGGAGCAGGGGTGAACTTGACGGGGGACGTATGCAGCACTGTCGAGTATGAGCATTGTATAAGAGCCCTGTTACGTTGACTTTCCATAAAAGTCAATCTCTCGGTGTCTAGAGTCTCATGCAAGTATGGACGATGTTGATGGTATACTAACACGGTTTCCAGGACTGGTGTTTGCAGCATCAACCACTGGTGCCACAAAGCTGTCCCTCGGAAGAAATGCTTGCCCCACAACCTTGTGCCAATGTCTACCAGCGGTTTCAGTGCGTGGGTGCCAAGAGAGGCATGGTTCCTAAAGGTTTCGAGACTCCTCGGACGGCGGAACTGCGGTATTTCCATTGACCCAGGGTGTACTTCTCTGAAAGAAAACGATTTGATGTGTTTAGCTAGATCGGGACGTTCAAACAGCGCGTACACCAGCAAAAGCGCTTTTTGACGCAGGACGCAGAAATGATAGAGGTACGGAGTTGCAATGTCTCGCCAATGAGTGTCAACAAGACAGAGATTGGAAAGCTCGGCGCTATTGGTATGACTTGGTTGGTCTGGGTTGGCGAGACAGCCTGTGCAGTGCTCGCAGAGATTTGAGGCTATCAAGTGATGGATTTCGTTTGGTAGGCTTGTGATGTTTGCTGGAGGACGTTGCCTATCCGCTGCAAGAGAGACATGATCTAGTGCATCGGTGGCTGCCGGACTAAATGGCGAAATAGTGTCGGAGGCTCGTATGGGATGCATGCCTGGTACGAGAGATGTCATCTCTTGCAAGTTCAGTATGGTCTGGAATGTCGACTTCTGATCGCTGTGGGCTGGGGGACCTTTTGAGACAGATGGGTATTTGGGAGAACTATTCAACCTTCAATTTTTGAGCACGCAGTAGAGCTCGTTACTATATATATGACAATAGCGTGCGGCGGTTGCCAGAGTTTGAAGAAACTTTCAATTACGAGCCAAAAGGTTGAGGCCTCGCAAGCCCACTCAAAATTGACTTTGGAGTCTCAGTGTGTCGTGTGAAGTTAAGTGGAGTCCAATGATAGTTCAATGAATGCGTGGATATGGCGCGCCTGAACCAAACTCTCATGACCTCAAGTTGATAGTTGCAACTTGAGCCTTGATACGTACCTTTCAACTCTTTCAACTCTTTCGACCGCTAAGAAGGGCTGTCTTACTTGCTTCGCCAATCGTGTGTTGTGTTAGTAAGTACTGAATGGCATTCGACTTACAATTGTGAGGTACCTGCCTTCCTACATCTGTACATACTGGTAGAATGTAAACATGAACTGAAGCTGTGGCTTCAGTCAAGTGGTCATCCTGTTACGTC